CAAGCTTTGACATGAATATAGGCAACATTCCTCCCATCAACTCACCAGCATGAAAAATACATGCTGAATTTTGTTTGGATGTGACATTAAAATAGCAATAACCTGCTGAGTCTCAGTTACCGTATTTATCATTTTTTTTATATTTTAGTGGTTGATGCATAAGAAAATATTCATATTATGAAATTAGTGTAATGAAAAAATTGTAGATTTCAGAATTAAATACTGAATGTATTAAAACATAATTAAAATTCCTATTTTTTATTAAACTCATATGAATATTACAATAATAAAATAATATTACATACATTATTTAATCTTGCACCCTTATTTTTATCTTGCATCTTGCAATTATTTTTATTTTTTTATTATTTTTTGTTGTTGTTGTTGTTTTACAAGAATGATAAAAAGGATTGTCCTCTTTAAGATATAACATGCAGGACTTAAAACGTGTTATGTCTAAATGGGGACATTACATAGACATCTATTGTTTTTATAAACAGATAGTTATAGATTTTATAAGCTAATTCTAACCCACCCCTAACACTACCCCTCACAAAAAATGTTCTGCATTTTTACAGTTTTAAAAAAAACTTTGTTTACTTTATTTTTATACCAGTTTTACAAATGAGGACATCCCCAAAGGGAGGTTTTTGGAGATTTTGTCAGGTTAAGTTCACGTTTAGGTACAAATTTGTCCCCAAAATATGCTTAAGTAGGGACAAACACAAACACACACACACACACACACACACACACACACACACACACACACATTTATAGTAGTAATAATAACAGGGCATGTGTTTCATGAGCTTTTTCGTGGTGAAGTTTGCTGGCTTTGGGCAATGTCTGTAATTCAGCAATGACAAGGTTTCATTCATAGTTTCTTTGTCTCCACTTCACACATTACTAGAGGCAACTTCCGCCATCTCTGAGGGCTTCATAATTTAAGGTTGTTTTAATCAGTTGTACTGCTTCCAGATCCCACACACTGTAAAAAGAGCAACTACAAATCATTTTAAGATGATGCATCTTGTGAAAAGGCAAGAACAGAGCAAGCTGCCTGTAAGGTAAATAATCGTGTGTGGCGGTGGCAGTGTGTGTGTGTGTGTGTGTGTGTGTGTGTGGTGAATCCCAGGTGTCATATGATAAATGTGTACTAAAATGTTCCAAGATGATTCTAAAATCCCCCAACAACTGACTAGAAGAACAGTTTACAGTGAGGTCACCTTAGGCCAAAACAACAGCTCGAAGTTGTTTAAATGTTTCATACAATCCAACATGAGAGGAAATAAACATGTTGTAGTGTGGTTTATGCTTGTGAACTAGGTTTAATAAGGCTTAATGTGCTCATAGTGAACAGTAAGTATATGCTGTAGCTAATGACAACCACAAAATATGTGCGTCAGTCATGGTGTTATCTTTAAGCAGTCATACATCCCCAGTATAATCTAAATTGATCTTTGAGAGAAGTGCACTGACGAACAGCAGGAGGATTAGGAGTGCTTTCCAGGGACAGAAGTGATTCTGTCAGGTCTGATTTCAGATTCAGCATGACAGAACGTGGGATTCACCCTCTGAAATGGGGAAAACAGAGCTGAAGTGAATGTAGGCCAAGCCACCATGTGGGGGGCCCACAGGGAAGGTGAGGCCCAATTTTACACTGCTTGTAGCTGGACAATACAGTAACTATGCAACACAATTCTTTTGCTTTTTTTGGCTGTACTGTGTTGGTTCATTCAAGTAACAGAGGTTAAAGGGGTACTCCTTGTCCCCCCTTTTTATTAAAAAAAAGCTAAACTTCAGGTTACAGTCAGGCACATACAATGAAAGTAAATAAGGACCAATTTAAAAGTAGAAATGTGATGCTTAACATTTTTAAAAAGCTTTATTAAAAAAAAAAAAAAAAAGGTAAAAACATATTTGAGATGAAAGCTGTTTAAATCATTTTAGTGGTATGATTTTCATTGCAACAAGCAAAACTGGATAGAAACACTTTATAATAAAGTCCTTCATAACATTAATTAATGCAGTACAGTATTTATTAGCCTTTGTTAACATTAGTTAATAAAAATACAGCTGTTCATTGTTAGTTCATGTAAGCTCAGGTCCTTTAAATAATAGTAACAGATACAACTTTGGATTATAATAATGTATTAGTAAATATTAAAATTAACATTAAACTAAAATTGCTAAATGCTTTAGAAGTACGTTTCATTGTTAGATTATATTATCTAATGCATGTTATGTTATCTAAATGAAAATTAGCCCATGCTTTAGTCACCCTCAAGGCATCTGATGTGTATATGATTTTCTTCTTTCAGACGAATCCAATCGGAGTTATGTTAAAAAATTGTCCTTGCTCTTCCAAGCGTTATAATGGCACTGGATGGGTGTTTTTTTTTTTACAGTCCAAAGAAGTGCAATAAAGTGCATCCATCCATAATAAAACGCGTCTCACATGGCTCCAGGGGGTGAATAAAGGCCTCCTGTAGCGAATCGATGCATTTTTGTAAGAAAAATATCCATATTTAAAACGTTATAAACACTTTTCTCTAACTTCCGCTAACTGTCATACATGCCCGTTCTTATAATAAAGTGTTACCAATTAGACTGAACGTTACAAAGAAAAGCTAAGCAATTTTTTCACCCTATAATCATTTTAACACCCATATTGTTTGTGTCTTGTTATTTTATTATGTATTTTAACGTTTATCAATTGGCCCAATGGGAGCCAATAGCTAAACATGGTATTTTTGCACTTTTGCATCTATTAAAAGACTAACAGTGGCTCAAAAACATCACAAGTTCTTTCTTAGAGGAAAGCTGGTAACTTCTGTTGGGTTATTGGCTTAGATTTTTGTAGGTTTTTCCAGAAGAAGAGAAAAAGAATGTGAGCGAGACAGACTATGCCATATTGGGCCTGAAACTGAAGCCTTTATGGAAGTGCCAAATATGAATCATTGTAGTCCGGATGCCAGACGGGCCTCTCCTGTGTTGCTAAGAGAGCCCCCCCACCCGTCGAGGAGCAGCCAGAGGGGTGGCGAGCGGGGTGCTAAGTGCCTCAGATGGCTGTACAGTTTCAGTTGTGTTAGATATGACTGGATGCTCCTATTCCTGTAAAGGCTACCTGGGTGGTCCAAGGCGGGGGGCTGGATTTTAATACTGCCACCTATTAGCTCCAGTGGGTTGTGATTTATGCAGCTGTCAGCTTGAACTTCATCAGGCTTGCAGGCCCTGGTGAGTTGTGGGCACCCAAATCGGGATCCGAGCCTCCCGGCCTCTCTCTTAAGGAGCTAAAGTTAACGTTCCTTCGAGGGAGGGAGAAAAAGCAGAGCGAAAGAAGGAAGAAAAAATGAGGAAAATACTGAGTGCATACCTCTGTCTTGCTCAGTCTCCCTTCTGAAATATGTCCCCCTTTGAATGTTTGGCCTGTTGAGAGGCAGAAAGAGAGAGAGTTGAAAAAAGATGTTTGAAATCGAGCGTGATAATTGTGTTTAGACGCCAAGTAAGTTTATGTATATGCTTGTTGACATTATACCCATAGAGAGCTTGCACTTTCACAACTTTTTTGTTTTCTGCATGTCGTCCATGATGAATCAAAAATAAAGTCGCAGAACTTAATTTCAACAAATTCATTTCAGTTCCTGTTTATTATTGACATTTCTTTACATAAAAGTTCTAATATGAAATGAAAATGAACATGTAAAATAAATGGTGTTGTTCAGCTGTATGTAGACCATGGTGTAGATAACGAAGGAAAAAATAAGAAAAATTGCAGAATTAAAAAATGCATTTAAATTAAACAAAATAATTTAATTTTAGCTCTGTTTATTTTTGATAGTTCCTAAAATAAAAACTAGAAAAGAAATTAGTGTGCAAAATTAAAATGTCTTAGATATTAAATGATGTTCTTCAGCTGTAACCAATCAGAACAGGAAAGCATTGGCTAGCCAAGAAAGACAGTCTTCGAATAGAAACCAGGTATCATGACTTAATCACACTTATAATCCTTACAGTCAATCAATTATTCTGATCTGGAGTCCTGGCTATATGTTCTGTTGGGGCATCTGTTATTAATATTTCAAGACTTTGGCGGTGAAAAGTGTTTTTCTTGTTTAAATAAGAATAATACCGTATTGACCCGAATATAAGACGATGTTTTTTTCTTGTAAATACATCTGAAAAAACGCGGTCGTCTTATATTCAGGGTCTAGACTTTGACATGTCAATAATACACCCACAACAATAGGTTTGTGTGTGTTTAGCATTATTCCAGTCTTCAGAGTTACATGATCCTTCAGAAATCTTTCTGATATTTATTCTAAAAACATTTATTCTAATTATTATTTTTTTGTTTTAGGATTCTCTAATGAATAGAAAGTTCATTCATTTGTTTAGTAGCAGCGGATCTCTGAATGTTTCATTCACTAGTTTCTCTCCAGAGGTTAGCTGATGAGCCATGTCGCTGTTCATGTGTGCTGGAGACTCTTGATCCAGATCACCGAACTGATGCAGCCCTCATTGTCCTCTTACACTGAGTTTTGTGTGCAAAAGAAGCTCAGTTTGTTTAGCTCAATGGAGCATTTTAACCCCGCATGGCCAGGTGCCCGATGAAACATATGGTGAGAATCTACCCCGGGCAGGAGATGGAAGATTCATGGAGTGCTCACCGGCTCTGCTATATATCACTTGGGGCCAGGGATCAATTGAAGAGAAGATTAGACTTCAGTCTGTCTCTGTCTCTTTGACTTGGTCTGTTTTTCTTTCGTTGTGGCGTTTGTAATCTTGCAGAGTAACACCACCGTGTGGATATCAGAGTAATAGCAACAAGTGTATTTTCTGCACACAAGCAGCTAAAAATATACTGAAATCGTGTAGCCTATACTGAGATCTTACAAATTACTGTATACAAATATATAAGAATACACTCCATTGATTCATTTTCATTTTTATTCATTTTAAAATACAGTAAAATTCTTTCAAAACTTAGGCTAAAATTGGAAACAGAGTGGAATGCACAGACATTTTGGAAATAACATTTCTATAAGCTTTGTGTGAGTCATGGATTGAGATCATATAAATAAACAATATTGAAAAATCTGAAAATTAGAACTCTGCAATTGTCCAAAATCCCATGGTCCAATTTATTTTACATGTGTGCAAATTAAAATATGTATTGTATACTGTTTGCTATTGTATTTGAGGTAGAGATGTTATCATCCCTGCAAACATGATAAAAAACAAAGCATACTGAGTTTTTGGAGAACTATGCATGGCAAACATTTCAAAAGCATCAATGTGTATTGTGAAAAAAGCACCAATAACATTTACAAAAAAAAAACAAAAAAAAAACTTGGTTTCCTGTTTTCTCATGATTTCATAGATCGTACAACAATAAAAGAGCATGCAAACAGCAATAGCATTATTTTCTCAAAGTCAGCATTACATAGCATAGTGAAGTGTCCTGTTGTACATAGCTGAGGAAACATTTCATGAGCTGAGGTCACTAAAACTCAATGCTACATTCTCTGGTGTAACTATGATGTAAACCTGGCATCCACCAATAAATCATTAATGACGTAAGAATACCCTGCTGAGATCATGAAAAAGATGAACTTATATTCTTGTGGCCAATTACAAAGTGCCAAAGTCACTTGATATCACTGTTATGTACAGAAGATTTTTTTTTTAGGTTAGTTTATTTTGAATATTCAGTTATATAACCAAAAAGAAAAAGTAAACGCAACATCATCTTGGTATTTGATGTTTATCCACATTGTGATGAGACGCTGCTCCTCTGCTGGACAGAGTTTTTCACCTCTATTGTTGAGGTTATTAGATCATTCAGTCCAAATTGTATGGAGGCCATAGTTTGGAAGAGCTGGGCCTGAAATTCAGTCTCTGGCTTTGCTTTCTCCTGTAATTGCTTCTCTTTTGGAGTGAGTTCATTTCCTTCAGGTATCTAAATAAGTGAAATATTATTATTATTTTATTATTATTTTCCATTTACATTTATGTATGCAGCAGATGATTTTATTCAAAGTAAGGTTAAAATCATAAAGTAGAACAACTGAGGAAATTATTAATTTAGCCCTGTACTATACTGCCATCACATGGCATAGACTAAACAGCGTTTTTTTGGTTTGTTTTTTACTTTTAGACTTTGACAATGATTTTCCCCCCTGCTGGAATAATATACAAAAATAAAAAAATATAAAATATAACATAAAAAAAGAGGAAAAACAGTGTTCTTACTTCAGCAGACACTCTTTGCAGCCATATTTTCTCCTCATCTGTAAACTCCATCGCAAAACTGAAACCAGTAAATAAGTTCTCAATTAATAATAGATGATCAATGAAAGAAGTTCTTGAAAGAAGTTAGACATTAGACATTGCATGAAAGGTAAACTTTAATGTAGCCTATGTTTTGACGGCGTGTCTAAGCCTGTCGGGTCTGAGCCTCCGTCTAAATCATAGCCTATACAGTGGCCCAAAAATGCTTTCAGACGCTAAAAATTACTTATTGTCTGCATCAGACAGAAAAACACCGTATCACATGTCAATGATTTTAAAGAAAAACAGCACAAGTACGTTTTTTCAAGCAAGCAAGATTTTACTGTGCATAAACGAAAGTGAAATTAAACAGTCTACTATCTTGTTTTTCTTTACACTAGTTTGTCAGGAAAAAGGAACATTTCAAATTAAAAACTGAGATTGATTTATTCTTTTTCCCTATAGCCACTCTTAATTTTTAGAAGATCGGCATTAGAATTTATAGTTAACTTATGCATATCCTAACTTTATACAGGGGCAGCTTATGCACAGTATCAACGAAACTAGTAATAATGTAAAGTACTCTTTCCCACACATATATACAAAATGATTTTGACTTACCTTTTAAGGGAAATCCTTCTTTTTTGTTAAAGCAGCGCCGAGCTCCGTTTAGTGGTAGTTAAAGAGCATCCCTGGTTAACAGAACGGTTTATGAGTGAACAGAAAAAGAAAAAACAAACAGAAGTCTATTTGTGAATAAACATCCTGCGGACAAAACCAACCTCAGCTGTCGAAACCTTTTACAGTCTATGGTCGAAACGCCCGACTGCAGAAGTACACGATGGGAAAACATACATGCTTTCAGTATAGAAGTTAAAATAAGCTATAATATATCCAGAAATATTAAAACATTTAAGTCTGCTTGTCGTTTACTACTCGCTCGTTTATCCGGTTAGACGTACAAACTGCAAGCAGACGATTTCTTATAAATCACCTGCACAACACAAGTGAAAGTGAAAGTAACATTGGGCTTAAACACGTAAACAACTACGTCTACTGCAACAACGTGTTCTGCACCACTATTTATGTTGATTATAAATATTCCAACAACAGCTTTCGACTGCATTTGAAGTCGTTATAGACGGTTCCAACGGCAACAACATAAACGTTACTGCGCATGCGCTTTTGTGGCCTTAATTAACTTAACTTCCGGTAGACTTCCAAATAGAATCAATAACAACAGCTAAGTAGTACCTTTAGAGTAATTATTTTTGATAACAAGCAAAAAATGTTTGCTGCGTAAATCAGACGGACTTACTGAAAATGCAAATTCATTCTCTGCCAGCAGGAGGTGCTTTAAAGCGTGAGAAACAGAGGTTTCCCCAGTAACGGCTGCACACAAAGCAGCGCTGAGCTCACAAACGCTGCTTTATCAGGCATATAACATGCACGATGAAATGAAAATAACATCGAACATTTTCTAAAGATTGTCTTCCTTCAGAAATACAGTGAAATAAAAACACCCGCGCCTCGTTATGATTTTTAAATGTGCAGTACGTGCTCATGTTTATTCAATGAAGTCTTTTGGGAAAATCTGTAATTTTTGATATTGTGGTGAGTTCCACAAATAAATAAATGTATGGGAAACACATCCCACAGCACAACCACCTGAGCCCAACTTCAGTCTACTCATCACCTTAACTTTAACTGCGTTTGTAGCCGGTGCCATGGTCAGACTGATAAACAAACACAGACCTGAAGTTAACTTTGGGCCAGGCGCGTGCACCCGATGAAAACGTCTATAGCAAAAGTGAGACAAAAAAAGGAATGGAAAGATGTAGCGTTTTATTTCATCCCCTACATCAGACAAGCTACCAGACATTATTGTCATTTTTACCCATTCACATATATTGATAGAAAAGACCCTTTCCTATAACAAAGTATAATGGATATCTGACAAATAAACATTCCCAGGATATTTTATTATTATTATTATTATTTTTAAAGCAAAGAATTAACAAATTAATCATCTCTTCAGACTTTTGGACAATTGAATGATTAGTTATAAAATAATGCCACTGATTTAAAACCTGAGCCCGTGAACCACACAGATCAAGTTGAGAAGTTATGGATCACCAATGCAGAATAGCAGCACACTGCTGCCCAGTAGCATCTGAGCATATGGCATATAAAGGAAGACTTGGAAGGATGTTTAGGGAGTTCAGAAATCCTCTTCTGCGTTACAGGTTCTTGAGGCCTTCAGCTCCTCGAGTCGCTCCATGCAGTCCGTCAGACTCCTTTCTCCATGCACCTTGTTGTCACGAGTCCTAACATTTACTGTGTCACTGCTCTTCTCCTTCTCACCCACCACTGTCATTGAATCAACCGTAAAAGTTAGGATCACAATGAATTTGTTAACATATCTGCAGCTGACATTTGTCAATTTTATTTTTAATTTGAATTTAAGCTACTGAGAAGCAATCATGGTTTGCTTGTGCTGTTTACGACTTTACCAATCGACAATTATCCACCTTATTTTGCAACGTAGAAGCATGCTGTTTTCTTTAAATGTGCAAGACTATTCATTAGCTGCTATAAGTAAATAACTAGAAGAATAAAGTGCAGTAAACTGTAAAACTATTTGCTTTAAAAATAAGTGTGCTTATTATTATGATAATTCTAATAATATTATAACAAATACCACTTTGCAATATAAAGCAGCATTACAGACTGTTTTTATACAGGTAAAATAACTGGAAGCGGCTTACACTGGAAGCCTCGCACATTTAAATTACAATATATACACAAAAATAAAACAAATAATTTACAGTAGCGAACAGGAAAAAAACATGATTTTTAAATTATCTATCAAAACTTTTTTCTAATTTAAACATTACTCTGGATCACTGACCTAAAATGAAATTGTACTGAGCCAACTGAGCATTCCTGATCTTCTTGTTCAGGGTGCAGCCTGGGTCCAGATCCACATCCGTCATCAACCCTCCCCTGTGGAACTCCTGTTGTACCTGAGATTGTCAAGGGATTGTTTCTGATAATGTTTGTGCTGGAATCAGAGCTAACAGCTACTAGTGCATGGGAAATAGCGAGCAGAACGTACTCTCTGGGCGTACTCATCACAAGTGGGTCCTACAGGAACCACCATCACCTGACGTGGGGACAGCCACAGTGGCCTGTGGGAAACAAAAGCAGGAGAATTTGGTATGTGCACATATGGTGTGTGACTAAACATTATCATGTGAGAGTCCCCTTCCTAAGCCGTACCACTTTCCCCCATAGTTTTCAGTCAGGATGGCGATCATGCGTTCCACTGAACCCAGAATCGCTCTGTGGATGATCACAGGTCTCTTATTGTCATCGCCATCATGGCTGAAGAGAGACAAAGTTTGAGTTACAAAGTCAGCAACTTGCACAGTTAAAAATGCAGGAGGGGTGTAGTAATCAAATATAACCACAAAATGTCACTGTTGTGCAGGGAACAGAGATTGTTCTGGATGTTCTCTCAGGTTTTCATTTTTTCTTATTATTTTACTCAGGAAAACATGTAATGTTTACTTGAGTAAACATACCTCACAAATGTAAGATTGAAGCGAATAGGCAATTGGAAGTCCAGCTGAATGGTGGCACATTGGTGATACCTGCCAATGGCATCCTTTATCTGAATATCAATCTGAATCACAAAAAAAAAAATACTTGAGTGTAAAGTCATTTCCTAAATGTACATATTTCATACTATGCTTTTTTTATCCAGTTGCACCTTTGGTCCATAGAAAGCTCCATCACCAGGATTCAGAACCCATTTCTCTCCAAAATCATTCAGGCTGTTCTCCAGTTGCTAAAACAATTAACAAGGGCTTAATGAAGTCAAACTAGACAAGATCTGCATGATTGAATTCTTACCAACCCAAATTTTTGAACAGTACTGTATGTGCATTTATTTGCTTATGTTCTTTTTGTGTTTATGGAAAGTGTCACATTTTACCTTCTCAGCCTGGTCCCACACTTCAGGTTCTCCTAGGAACTTCTCTGGCCTGGTGGAAAGGTTCAATTTGAAGGTGAAGCCAAACACATCATACACTGTACGTAGGAAGTCCAGGCAACCCTTTATCTCAAACTCAATCTGTTAGATAGGAAAATGGGTAAGGAGGAAAGATGAGGAGAATAATGACCCCTTAAATGCAATTCAAACAAACAAAGCATTAATAGGCTTGTGATATGTACAATAGAAATTGTAAAAAGGGAACCCTAAATAGCAAATCACAAAAAAGCATAATTTATTCCAAAGTAACTTGCCTGGTCCATAGAGCAGAAGATGTGCGCGTCGTCTTGTTGGAAACGTCTGACTCTGGTCAGGCCAGTAAGAGCTCCAGACAACTCATTACGGTGCAAGACCCCAAAATCAGCCAAACGCAGAGGCAGTTCCCTCCAAGAGCGCGGCCGGTGGTCAAACATCAGACTGCCAAATAAGGAACATGTTTACATAAAGAAAAATCTTGCAAAAAATGATTCCCTTTGCTTAACTTTTTGCATTCAGGGATACTGTCAATGCCTGTTACAATTAACAACACCTCAAAACTTCTGTTGCAGTGAATACAGAAAGATTTTGTACCAGTGTCCAGGGCAGTTCATGGGCTTGAGAGCAAAGATCTCCTTCTCCACCTCAAAGGAGAACATGTTTTCGCTGTAGTGCTGCCAGTGTCCTGAGGTTTGCCATAGTTTGCTGTTGTAGATGTTCGGTGTGACCACTTCCTGGAATCCCCTCTTTCTGTATTCACTCTACACAATAAAATTTAGAACAGTGCAACAAAAATGGTCTGTGAAAATGCATAAATATTCAAGCGGTTGGTTCACAATCATTAACGGGGTCCTTGAAGTGGACCAACCTATCCATTACATGGTCTACTGAACCATGACATCCATAAAATGCAATTTAGCATATCCTAATAGACCTCTGCAAAACCTGCTCCACATCACACCCTTGTTTTGTCAGCTATTGTAATTTTTTAAATGGATGATATTGGCTCTGTAGTAACAGAATGAACTATGAATTCAAAAAGGGTGGAAAACTCACTCTAATAAACTCGATGAGCGTATTATAGATGTAGGCTCCTTTAGGCAGAAAGAAACAGCTACCCGGGCTCAGGTCGTGGAAAAAAAACAAGTCTTGCTCCTGGAAAGACAAAAGCGGGGAGAGAGAGTGTGTGTGTAAAACATTAAAGGTGAGAGAAACAATTATTATACAAGTCAGAAATCTAAATGAGAATACAGGAGGATACAAAGGAAAAGAATGAGAAGTTCATATGAGCAAGAGAGACAAAAAATAGAACAAATGGCTGATTATGCTCTTGCTTTTGTTGCGACAAAGTGTTCCCTGTGCACCCATCAGCATGCCCATGAACAGATGGCACATTAAAGAGACAGACATCTGCCTTCTTTATGGGCACAGTCCCCGTTCTCTCCCCACCCAGCCCACCTATCAGACCTGTCTTCAGTCACCACAGATTCGAGACTCCCTACACAGTGCATCAAATGAGATGCTGGCTGAGTCATTAGCACATCAAAATGTCCACATGTTCTCCAGTGTGAGCAGTTTTGTCCCCCAAATGTTCAGTGGAAAGTGGCTTTTTTGTATTAATTTGCACACTGCTGACTTTTATAATTATTCACTTCCAGTTGTGTGGATGCGCATACATGTTGCTGCTGGATTTGTGATTTAATTACACTACCATTCAAAAGTTTGTGGTCAGTAAGGACTGTAGTGTGTGAAAGACTTTTTGATTAAGACTTTTTTTTTAATTTATGAGTCAGTACTGTGCACCATTAGTATATTTAATTCCTGTCATCAAAGTATTTAAATAAGGTATGATTTACATAATCCATAGACAAGGATTACCACTGACGTGCATTTTGCGTATTCTTGGGGGCCATTGTATGAATACATTTTCCTGCCACATATTTCATGTACACTTCTGGCTTATCTGTAA